TTGTCAGGAATCAACGAATGAAGCAATGGTGCTTGCTGGTCCTTCCTGGGTCATTAGCAATCCAGAGTAGGTGGTTTAAATTCCCAGGCCCCTTGAATTATCGGTCTTCTCTTTCACGTTCACCATCTTTTACATCTCTTTGCAGTACCAAATAATGAGGATGAGGACCCAGCAGCAGCGGAAGGGGAGGCCGCAGCAGCTGCAGCAGCTGCCGCAGCAGCGCTACCATTACCAGCAGTACAAGGGATGCAGGGTGATGATTTTGTGGTGGAGATGGAGGCAGCACGGCCATACATGTGTCGAGAGTACTCTTTGGCAGAGATGTCTAAGGCCACAGGAGATTGGGCAGAGGGGAACAGGATAGGAAGTGGTAGCTTTGGGGATGTTTACAAGGGTGTGTCGCCCCACGATTGCAATCAAGCCTGGGCAGTCAAGCGAGCTCGAGTGCTCACGAACGACTTCCAAAGAGAGGTACCATGGTGTGAGTTTTTGTTGATATGTTAGTGGCACGTTTCTCATTAGTTTCTTCTGCCAACCCCAAGCATAGCTGGTGGTCTGATTATTCAATCTCCTTTGATATGTTTACTGTTTTGCCTCTCAGGTGAAGGAGATGGCAAGCAAGCACCATCCGCATCTTGTGCGTCTATTGGGCTATTGCATCGACTTCGACCTCTCCACACGACTCATGGAGCAGATCCTCGTTTACGAGTTCATGCCCAACCACGACCTTGAGAGCTGGATTGGTTCTGGTGTCTCCCATCCTCTTTCGCTTCGTCAAAGGCTTGACGTTCTGATTGGAGTGGCAAAGGGGTTGCAGTATCTTCATGACTTTGGCATTGTGCATCGCGACATCAAACCTGCCAACATTCTCCTTGATGCAAAGATGCAGGCATGTCAATATTGTTGTAGGCCTTGCTGTACATGGTGAAAGATGCCTACTCGTATCCATCCCTTAGCAACTATCATGTGGTGTTTTGCATCGCCTCGCATGCTCTGAATCTTTCACATCAATGCTCTTGTTGTCCATGGGCAGGCCAAGATTGCAGACTTTGGGCTTGTGAAGCTTGGTGGGGGCACTGCTATGGGCACGTCTGTGGCTGCCACTCGAGTGATGGGAACACCGGGCTATGTGGACCCTGCGTATTTCAAGTCTCATAAGGCCACTCCAGCAGCAGATGTGCACAGGTGAGAGATTGGCACAAGTGAGCAGATTGGCACAGGTGAGCAGAGTAGGTTATGCTAGCAAATCCATGCAAGTTATAATGGCATGAGAAAACAGTGAAGGTTAGCAGATGAGCACTTTGGCATGAGAATACTGTTCAAGGAGGCTTCCAAATTTGATGAGAAATGCTCATGATTTTTGTTTCTTCTTGGGAAGATAGGGTTTGGGTTTCGGGCTTGCAGTGATTTCTATGTTTCCTTTGCCTCACACCCAAAGAAGGTCCATGCCTGACATTGAAGCCATTTCCAGGCGTTCTTACCAATCGAGTAGCTTGGTAATGCTTGGTGATGGGGCTTGCGTGACGATCACTTGTGGAATGATTGGGGAAACAAATTTCATTGTGACCATAAAGCTTTTGTACATCTGAGCGTGATTTCAAGTATGATGCCTTTGTTTATTTCTGGGTTGCAGTTTTGGCGTGGTGACGCTGGTGGTTATCACGGCGCGCAAGGCTATCCATGTAACAGAGGAAAACCAGATCAATCTAAAACAATGGGTGAGAGACAGAAGTGTATCATGCCAAGGATGGCAGATCTTGTAACACAACGTATGAGAAAGCCAGCTGCACTGCGTAGTGAGTTTGCTTGATAATATCAATGTTTTCTTGTTGCCCTTAGCCAAACATATGTAGGCCAATTCATGTTCTCCTTACCTCCATTCCCAACAGGATACATGCTGCAATGATTAAGACGACCACTTACCTTTGAATCACACCTTGTATCTGTAATAGGATTCACCTTCCTATCATCCTGCTTTCTATGTAGCACTAATTTCCTATGATCATACATCATTCCATCAATCTCTGCGTTGCCACATTTCTACCATTCTTCACATGTTTTATTTTAATGTGAACCTCTGTGAACATTTTGTATCACCAAATTCCATGTGATGTATGCATTTAACCTCGCAGGTGGCCCCGTTGGTGGACTCCGGTGCTGTATTGGCATTCAAGGACCCTCACTTGGACGCACCAGATGACTTGGTGCTGCGCTGGGCTCGCCTTGCCCTCTCCTGCACCGCCATGCCTGCAGCCTCCCGCCCCTCCATGAATCAAGTGCTTTGGGAGCTGGTGAAGTTGAAGCAGGAGGCGTCCGGAGCACACGAGGGCCATGTGGGCGAGGCCAAATCTCGCATTGACATGGAGCTTGGGAGCTCCATTGGCTCCTCCAGCTTCACTGCTGAAATGGCCCGTGCGGAGCGCGAGGGGGGCATGCCAAGTGGCTCTTCCACATAATCAAGTTTGTTTTCACATGCAGCTTACGGGTTTACCTTGTGCTTCTGATGCCAATTGTTTGCTTCATATGAAAACATGGTATGGGACACTTAGGAACACTAACACGGGCTGTGGAAGGGATACTGGTAGCATCTTTTGATGAGCACAAAAATGGGACAGGAAAATTGGGCTGTGTAGTACACTGTAGCTTTGGCTTGTCCATGGGCCGGATTTTATGCTTGTCACCTTCTTCCTGAAACTTTTAGCTGTTGCATGCATGATTTTCTGGATTGTGAATTAGATTCACGTATAGGGTTGTTTTGGGGTTTTTAGACAGAATATGGCTCTTCAAACATCAAGCTTGAAAAGCTAAACATTCCTCTGTATATCCCCTATCCCTCTCCCCACTCACATGCCGCCTCTCCTCTCACACCAGCACTCCTTTCATACCCACCACTCCTCTCATACCCACCACTCCTCTCATACCCACCACTTCTCTCACACCCCCCTATCCACTCTTACCCCCCACCCATACCATTCCCCAACCCCAACTCGTACCGTCATCGCCCGGATAGTAGACATATGTCTTATCTCGTACACGGGCAAAAGTGCTGGGGTTGTCTTGTATTTGGGACGATTTAGGGTGTCTTATAACTCTTATAAATGGAGAAAGAACTGTTTAGAAGATACCCCCTCGCTATAAGATTGCCCCTAACCTCTACACTGGCTTAACGCGTACACACAAATAGGTGTCTTATAATGAGGCGAGCTTGTTTATAAGAGACACCCAGATAATAGACAACCCCTGTCTACTATTCAACACTGTCTACTTACCGGGATATGACGGTATTATACTCCCCACCCCTCTCATAAACTCCCTCCTTTCGTAAACCCCACTTCTGTCATGCCTCTATATTCCTCTCATGCCCCTAAACTCCTACCATACCCCCTCTGTTACTCCTCACTCCTCTTATACCCCCCACTCCTCTCATACCAGCCTCCTCTTGAATCCCCCACTCCTCACACATCCCCTCTTTTCATAACCTTCACTCCTTTCAAACCTCCACTCCTCTGATAAACCCGGTTCCTCTCATACCCCTCACTCCTCTCATACCCACCATACCTCTATGCCCCCCATTCCTCTCATACACCCCACTCACCTCATAACCACCACGATTCTATTACCAGCCATGCCTCGCATACCCCCCTCTCCACCCATCTCCCCACTCCTCCCACACCCCCACTTCCTCTCATGTCCCCAACTCCGTTTACACACCCCAATTATGTCATAGACCCCACTCCTCTCATACCCCCCACTCTTCCCAATCATTTTATTCCAAGTAGTCGCAGTTTCTTATGGTCTTGCTTTCTATGCATGCGCTCCTGCATTGAGCCTTTGGACTCCTGCACCATTGTCTCGTCCACTCCCTCCATGCACGATGGATATTTTGGATTAGAAGAACCTGTGCAAGAGCAAGATGCTTGCGCTAGACTTCTAGTGCTGTTTTGAAATTATAAAGCCTGTTCATAAAAAGTGCTACCGTACCGACCATAAGCTTGATAGATATTTGTGAATTGTGCATATAAAAATGGTGTCTTTGATTAGATCTTCTAGCCTGATTTGTCACTGACTGTGCTCACACACGTGACATCTTCCAAGCTAACCAATTTGTAACATTTCTGATTAATTGCTCTCTATTCTAGATGAAAAGACATCATTCAAACAAGGCACTGCAGATGGTTGTGAACCATTTTAATTTGGAACAGTGCAAGTTACTGTGTTGTGGAATGGATGGAGCATGCACAGTCCAAGGTTAATGAAATCTTTATTGATACAATTTGTAGTTTGAACCATAATGTATCCTTGCAGCTTGACTACAAACTCAGCCTTCAACCGCCAAGAAATCATGAACGTACGCTTATTATGGCAGGAAAAAAGGCAGGGAGGTGAGGAATCTGAATGCTAAGAAGTAGGGCACACTTTCTAATAATGTACCTAACCTCTCATGAGAGCCAGTTCAGCATCGAGAGTCCCCTGCTCATTGTTCTGGGTGCCAATCTTGGCCTTGTGGCTGCTAAATATGGCTTGTTGGGGCTAAAGCGCCAATAGTACGTAGGTCAGTTGGTTGCTAACGGTAGGGTGGGGGAGGACAAAGGGTAGTGTGGGAGATTGTGGGTATCTCGTGTTTGTGGAAGGCATGGCCCTGCATCATACCTGCACCCACGACTGGCCTCAGACTGACATGAGGCTGACATGAGACTGACCAGAAACTGACCAAAAGACTGACCCGTGTTTGACCTTAGACTGACCTGAATTTGACCTAAGACCAACCTGAAACTGATACGAGACTGACCTTAAATTTACCTGAAATTGACCTGAGTTTGACCTGAGAGTGACCTGAGAGTGACCTGAGAGTGGCCTGAAAGTGATATGAAACTCTCATTATGAGAGTTTCTAGGGCGATCTGAGTGTGACCTGAAAGTGACCTACGACTGACACAAAACCTTCTCCCCCCATGTACTTGACTGGCGAAGCTAAAGAAGGCATTGAACACAAAGGGCGAGCTACACGGGCCAGGGTTTTCGATCAAAAGGAAGAGGCAGATGGGCGCTGCACTGTGCTGCTCCTGACGTGTTGCTGGTGGGGGGCGTGAGGATGATGGTGCCATTGAATGGTTGCGCTGCTGCACCTGCCAGGGAGACTGCTGTTGTCTGTGATGATTTGGTTGAAGGGAGAATTGCAGGGTTATCCAGAGCGAGGCAAGGCAGATGGGTGCAAACGGAACGGAAGAAATATGCTTGGATGTAAATAAATCAACACCAGGAGTTCGAGAGGCTTCAATTGCGATGCAGCTGTAATGGTAACAATTACAAGGAATGAGCAGGGTATGCAACGCAATCAAAGGGCACAACAAGAGAGTGCCATCTGCTTCTTACGCCAGATCACTCAGTCCCTCCCAAAACTTGTGTATACACACCACTGTAGGAGCACAAGGGCAGTCCAGCCTGGTTGTCAAAGTTGCTATCGCAGGTGTATACTGATTCCTGCACAGACTCACTGAAGGAGCACATGCCATGCCCGCTACACAGGGGTTGGCAATCCCCAACAGAAACCCCACAGAACGCACCACACTCCTCTGCACTCCTCTGCTCCAAGTAGTCTCCAGGCGCCCGGGATGCGTTGAGCAGACAATGCTCAAAGGCGTTGCCAAGGTAGGTGTGGTTGGCCTCGGGCGGGATGATGGTCCCGTGGAAGAAGAAGTTGCGGTGGGTGTAGGGTAGGTAGGGCGGGAACTGGTTGGCTAAAGGTAGGGCGACAGGGGCATGGCAGTCACCCTGTCATTGGTTGGCTGACATGTCACTGTAAAAAAGGGGGGGCGAGGGCAGGGAGAGCCAAGGCGAGGAGTGGGTGGGAAAATGGCGCATGAGCGGGGGTGTGACAAGAGTGGGTGAGAAGTGAACACGCACAGGGTGGTGCAGAGGAAAGATGCAGTGTTCTGTTGGAAGAATGTGTTTGATGCTGGTCAGCAATTACCAGCGCGCAAGCAGATGAGCCTTGAACATACAGATAAACCATCGGACCAAAGGAAGGGGCTTGGTGTAAACCATCGGACCAAAGGAAGGGGCTTGGTGTAAACCATCGGACCAAAGGAAGGGGCTTGGTGTAAACCATCGGACCAAAGGAAGGGGCTTGGTGTAAACCATCGGACCAAAGGAAGGGGCTTGGTGTAAACCATCGGACCAAAGGAAGGGGCTTGGTGTAAACCATCGGACCAAAGGAAGGGGCTTGGTGTAAACCATCGGACCAAAGGAAGGGGCTTGGTGTAAACCATCGGACCAAAGGAAGGGGCTTGGTGTAACAAGCATTTTCAGTCCTATCTGTAGTCCTCCTTCCCAATCCAATGCTCTCTTAGAATGGGCTCTTTCAGGACCCCCTCAACACACCAAGGCAAGTAACAAATGGCACATGGCCCATTGGCACATGGGACCTGGGACATGGTGGCAAATAGCACATGGTGCATTCCATATGCGATTCCCCCCATGCACGTGCAGCGTGACAAGGTTGGTCATATTGCATGTGATGCCGTACACATCGCCAGAGAGGACGTTCCTGTTCAGGTAGCTGGAAGAAAGCACATCCGAAGACAACTCGTGAACGCGGCGTGCATGGCATGGCAGCACTTGGACTCCCATCTAGCAGGGTTGAGTGCGCTTCCTAAGGCCCTCAGCGGAGGTAGCATGGAGTGCTGTTGTTGCATGCAGTTGCGTTGCATACAAGCATGATTTCAACTACATGTCAAGGTTGGTAACTTGGATAAGTGTGATTGGACCAGACGCCAAGGGACACTGGATACAACAGCAAGCAGCCAGAGTGCACACACAAAAAGCCCAAGTTCTGAAGGAGAATGATCTGGGGACCGTGCCCCTGAGCCCCACACCCTCCAGCTACCTGACCCCACAGCGTGGAAGACGTCGTGTGCACACGAAATACATCACAGACTATGATGATGGAACGATAAGGGAGTCCTTGAGTGAACAAGAGAGAGCGCATTCTATTGCAGTCTGCATATATGTCTTTAACACGCAATGTCTCAGTACCTTTCTGATGACTCTTGTCCTCAAAGCTACTGACATAGACTGATGCAAAGCCAAGGAGACTCAGAATCATACGTGCACAGGAGGTTGCACCAACAACACACCAGGCAAGCAAGGTAAACACCAAGAGAGAAGCTACAGGGATGGGTTATGGTTGGCGAGATGTCAAGGTGACTCAGGGTTCCAATAGAGGGGCTAGGTTCCACCAATGTTTGACCGTGCCAGCTCCCTGTAAATACATGGCTTGATTAAACACTAGGTTGGGGATAAGAAAGGAGAGCATGATTTCAGCATGCTACACGTGTCTCCTATCGTGATGTGATAGGCCTGACAAGTAGCACGAGCGCTACAAACATCAGAGCGGACAAATGAGAGAGCTACCAGATAGTGGGTTTCGGCGAAATCCATTATCATAAACCACTGCCTCTGTCCTTAGGGCAGTGTCCTTATGAAGCAGGGGCCAAAACAGGGGAGTGGAGGTCCGTAGACTAAAATCTCGTTCTGGATCCATACACTATGTTTCGGCTGTACCCTGTGCACACAATGAATCGCTCACAAGCATAAAAAATTGTCTATGATTGTATGTTGAGCCCTAAAGCTATAATGATTGGTGTCAAGCGTCTATTCAAGACATTACTAAGGCTGGAGTACAGTAGGGAAAGAGGAATTTTCGGTGGAGCGGTGATTAGCCCAGAGATTGAAAAGAACACCGCATGCGCTCTCACAACTTGTGAGTCACAGTTCCACGAGCAGATTCTTGGCCCCAATGCAGTGACAGAATGAACGGCGTACATACCGTACTCATGGTGACTGCATACATGCTCATGATGACTGCATACATCCTCATGATGACAGCATACATGCTCATGATGACTGCGTACATCCTCATGATGACTGCATACATGCTCATGATGACTGCATACATGCTCATGATGACTGCGTACATCCTCATGATGACTGCGTACATCCTCATGATGACAGCATACATGCTCATGATGACTGCGTACATCCTCATGATGACTGCATACATGCTCATGATGACTGCATACATGCTCATGATGACTGCATACATGCTCATGGTGACTGCATACATGCTCATGGTGACTGCATACGTGCTCATGGTGACTGCATACATACTCATGGTGACTGCATACATACCCATGATGACTGCATACATGCTCATGATGACTGCATACATACTCATGGTGACTGCATACATACTCATGGTGACTGCATACATACTCATGGTGACTGCATACATACTCATGGTGACTGCATACATACTCATGGTGACTGCATACATACTCATGGTGACTGCATACATACTCATGGTGACTGCATACATACTCATGGTGACTGCATACATACTCATGGTGACTGCATACATACTCATGGTGACTGCATACATACTCATGGTGACTGCATACATACTCATGGTGACTGCATACATACTCATGGTGACTGCATACATACTCATGGTGACTGCATACATACTCATGGTGACTGCATACATACTCATGGTGACTGCATACATACTCATGGTGACTGCATACATACTCATGGTGACTGCATACATACTCATGGTGACTGCATACATACTCATGGTGACTGCATACATACTCATGGTGACTGCATACATACTCATGGTGACTGCATACATACTCATGGTGACTGCATACATACTCATGGTGACTGCATACATACTCATGGTGACTGCATACATACTCATGGTGACTGCATACATACTCATGGTGACTGCATACATACTCATGGTGACTGCATACATACTCATGGTGACTGCATACATACTCATGGTGACTGCATACATACTCATGGTGACTGCATACATACTCATGGTGACTGCATACATACTCATGGTGACTGCATACATACTCATGGTGACTGCATACATACTCATGGTGACTGCATACATACTCATGGTGACTGCATACATACTCATGGTGACTGCATACATACTCATGGTGACTGCATACATACTCATGGTGACTGCATACATACTCATGGTGACTGCATACATACTCATGGTGACTGCATACATACTCATGGTGACTGCATACATGCTCATGATGACTGCATACATGCTCATGATGACTGCATGCATGCTCATGATGTCTGCATACATGCTCATGATGACTGCATGCATGCTCATGATGTCTGCATACATGCTCATCAGTGCGGGTAGGGTGGAGATCTAATCAGGAATGGCGCCAGGGAAGTTGTTATTGTGCAGGTCGCTGCACGGCAGAGCACAGGATAGAGACAGTTTCTTTTCAGTCGGCTAAAAAGCACAGAGCTTGTAGTCGACTCTAAGGCAGAGCAGGGGAACAGAGGCAGTTGCATCGATCCATTTTAATCAATCTCACTTCTTTCAAGATTAGCTCGAGAAACATCCACACGGGCGCGTAAGTAATATTGTTGAGGGCTGCAGCGTCACATTATCAGACTCAAGGGGGCATTGCAACATCGTTATCTTGACAGGAGCGGAGCTTCACTGCCTTGCATGCAGCAAGGCGAGGAGGACAGTCAGAGCATGGCATGGAAAAGGGAGAGCCGCATGGCGCTATGAGTGAAAAAATAACACGTGCAGATGCAACAGCAGGGTGGGCGAGGCAATGGGGTGGCTGACAGGATATCGAGGGTGGAGATGGTGCTGAGGGCAGACTGCTGTCCACAGTGAACCCGTTGACCGAAAGGCTCCTGCACATGGTTACAGGGAATGGAATGGACCACTGGCGATGCGTTATGTGCCCCACTGAGTGCTACGGACAACAAGATACACATGCATGGGATAGCCTTGGTAAAAGCAGAACCCAATATTCTTGCATGGTGCAGTGCTTAGTGCTAACGCACAAGAATGCATGCATGCACACAACGCCCTGTACATAGTCCGCGCTGCACCACAGCAATCCCCCTCCCATTCGTCTTTCAATACTCATGTGTTAGAATGTTGCATATGCTAGTTAATACTACTGTAAGTGATACACCCAATGTGGTACACTTTGGCTCAAGTAGCCCCAACCGATTTTGGTTGAGTGCTTCCCAACATTTTTGGACCGTATTTGATGGGGGGATCCCAAATAATGACTGGGCCATCCAATCAATTATTGCCCCCCCCATCCCCCAATAGTGTTGGCCAATCATTGCGTGGTCAACCTAATTGACCCACCAATGATGGTGTGGGCACTCATCCAATCTGCCCACCGTTTCCTTTCCTATGTTAACCTATCTCTCATTTATCACAATCATAACTTGAGACTCTTTCACTCTGCACACGCAGTGGCCCCATGCCAGTACACCCGCAACCACTAACCCTCTACCCTCTTCGACCCAGTGACACCCCTCAGCAATTGAGCCTGCCCAGATCTCTCAGTGCAGTGGATATATTACAGTGTGGCGAGTTGGTTGAGGTGCGACAGATAAGGGACTCAGGCACGGATCAGCTCAGCCAGTTCTGCGCAGATCACTCACATCAGGTTGGTCAACAAGCTGATCAACTCAGCCGGTTCCTCCAGAGGAGAGATGGTCAAGAAGGGATCCAAGAAAGGGAGAGAGCATGGGACTACCTGGCATGTGACGCAAACTCATGCAATGAAACAGGGACAGAGCCAAGGAGTTGTGGGATGGACTAGGTAGGAGGGGTAAGGGTGGTACTGACAGGTAGGTGACACTGAAGGAGGTTGCTCATGTCATTTGGAGATGTTCAGATGATTCACTCTCGGCTTGCTGCATGTGTGGCGCACACATGTAGAAACATGGGGATCGATGGGATACACGAAATGGGGTTGGATAGGGTTGGACGTATAAGGTTGGGGCAAGGAAAATGAACGATTAGGAGAGGGAGAGGGAGGGGAGACGTGGAAGGACTACAGATGGGGCAATGTACTGAGGTGAGGAGAGGGATGGCTGGGACGTTGATGGTGCGTCCCATCTGCCGCACTGCACGCACGCACATGCGCTGGAGGAGCACTCACATTCGCTGGAGCAGCATTCACATGCGTTGGAGCAGCACTCACATGTGCTGGAGCAGCACTCACATGCGCTGGAGCAGCATTCACATGCGCTGGAGTAGCACTCACATGCGCTGGAGCAGCACTCACATGCGCTGGAGCAGCATTCACATGCGCTGGAGTAGCACTCACATGCGCTGGAGCAGCACTCACATGCGCTGGAGCAGCACTCACATGCGCTGGAGCAGCACTCGCATGCGCTGGAGCAGCACTCACATGCGCTGGAGCAGCACTCACATGCGCTGGAGCAGCACTCACATGCGCTGGAGCAGCACTCACATGTGCTGGAGCAGCACTCACATGCGCTGGAGCAGCACTCACATGCGCTGGAGCAGCACTCACATGCGCTGGAGCAGCACTCACATGCGTTGGAGCAGCATTCACATGCGCTGGAGCAGCATTCACATGCGCTGGAGTAGCACTCACATGCGCTGGAGCAGCACTCACATGCGCTGGAGCAGCACTCACATGCGCTGGAGCAGCACTCACATGCGCTGGAGCAGCACTCACATGCGTTGGAGCAGCATTCACATGCGCTGGAGCAGCATTCACATGCGCTGGAGCAGCACTCACATGCGCTGGAGCAGCACTCACATGCGCTGGAGCAGCACTCACATGCGCTGGAGCAGCACTCACATGCGCTGGAGCAGCACTCACATGCGCTGGAGCAGCACTCACATGCGCTGGAGCAGCACTCACATGCGCTGGAGCAGCACTCACATGCGCTGGAGCAGCACTCACATGCGCTGGAGCAGCATTCACATGCGCTGGAGTAGCACTCACATGCGCTGGAGCAGCACTCACATGCGCTGGAGCAGCACTCACATGCGCTGGAGCAGCACTCACATGCGCTGGAGCAGCACTCACATGCGCTGGAGCAGCACTCACATGCGCTGGAGCAGCACTCACATGCGCTGGAGCAGCACTCACATGCGCTGGAGCAGCACTCACATGCGCTGGAGCAGCACTCACATGCGCTGGAGCAGCACTCACATGCGCTGGAGCAGCACTCACATGCGCTGGAGCAGCACTCACATGCGCTGGAGCAGCACTCACATGCGCTGGAGCAGCACTCACATGCGCTGGAGCAGCACTCACATGCACTGGAGCAGCATTCACATGCGCTGGAGTAGCACTCACATGCGCTGGAGCAGCACTCACATGCGCTGGAGCAGCACTCACATGCGCTGGAGCAGCACTCACATGCGCTGGAGCAGCACTCACATGCCTCACGTACCAGGGAGACAACGTTGCGTTGCCTTGCCATGAGCATCACATGTGACGCCCTGCACGGTTGAGCAGTCACTGCTGCCCGACCACGCCTGCCAGCCGCCCCCAAGCTGCCCCCATGCCGCCAGCGCCTGCGGAACAGCTTGACTGCCAGCGAAGGCCGGAGAGGGTTGGACGCAGGGGGTGCAGCCACGGGCTCACGGAGGTCAGCGGGCACGGTGGAGTGTGGGGGGAGGGAATCCACATGGGGAGGGGCATGGGGGCACGCAGGGACCGGAAGAGGGTTGTGCGACAGATGAGTGAGGGTTGTTGGGAGAGGGGATGAGAAGAGGGAGTGGAGGGAGGAAAGGGAGGGAAAGGAGGGAAGGCAGGGTGATAACAGGGTAGTAGCATAGGAAGGGGGGCATGGAGAGGCAAAGAGGGGGCATGGAGAGGCAAAGAGGGGGCATGGAGAGGCAAAGAGGGGGCATGGAGAGGCAAAGAGGGGGCAGGGAGAGGCAAAGAGGGGGCATGGAGAGGCAAAGAGGGGGCAGGGAGAGGCAAAGAGGGGGCAGGGAGAGGCAAAGAGGGGGCAGGGAGAGGTGGAACAAGGATGTTAAGGGTGAGTTGTGCGTTCAGGAGAGCGATTGACCGTTGCACGACATGCGCAACGGCTAGAGCGCTTCTGAAGAACGCGGTGAAAGAGAGTCACAGTGGCATTGAGAATCTTTGCATGGAAAATCTCACACCACCCGGGCATGCCGCCGCCCCACCGCCCCATACCTTCCCATTCCGTTGCATCACCCCGTACCACCCCATTCCCATACCACTCCATGCTGCCTCACCACCCGCTCGGGCGCACTCACAGCCTGCCGTCTGTATTCGCCACACCGCCGCCAGCATGCAGAGCGAGCAGAAGCAGGTGAGCAGCAGCAGTGGGAGCATGGCGGGGCAGGAGATGGGTCTGCGCTTAGTAAGAGCGGCAGGGGGGAACGATAGGGAAGGGGGAGGGGAGTTAATGAAACCGGGAGAGGGGAGGGGAAGGCAGAAGCGAGGCAGAGGGAGAGCTCTAGGATGCAGGAGAGAGCGAGCACCTCCACTCCCCATGACACCACCCCCATTCCCCCCACCTCTTTTTCATTTCCTTCCCCCCTCGTAGCACATACCTGCCAGGGCTTTATTCTTTGCTTAGGTTGGCTTATGCGTTCTTACCTTGGTTCTTTACCATTGACTTTGCTGTACCACTTGTATTCAATGACAAAGACAGTTCGACAGTTGGGGGGGTGTCCATAGGGGGGTTGACTCAGTCGCACTGAGCGACGATACACTGCGCAACAATACACTGCGCAATGATACGCTGCGCAACGATACACTGTGCAATGATACACTGCGCAACGATACACTGCGCAACGATACACAGCGCAACGATACACAGCGCAACGATACACAGCGCAACGATACACAGCGCGAAGATGCACAAAGCAATGATGCGCTCCCCAAGCGACAAGGTACAAGCACATACGCGGCACGTCCGTAAAGGCAGCCTCACGGCACTTAGCTCTCCCACCGACGCAGCCCCCCTAGGCATCGCGTGCTGTCAGGTCCGCAGTGCGCCTTGCGTGGGGGAATGAGCTCTCTCGCGCTCGCTGTCATGCCACTGGGAACGCCCGCCCACCTCAGCTTCAGCTACGCCGCTACGCGTGAAACGCCGCTGCGTGCTCGCCGTACCAACTGCCACCACAGCAGGACATGGCAAGCACGCAGCCGAGCTGCGCTACTACGATCATCCGCTTTTGCGTCCAGGAGCCAAACTAAACCACGGGTTTGGCCCCGCCATATGCCACGCCATCAGGTCTCGGTGACTCTACAAAATTCACAACGCCACATACCATGCCCAAATCTCGGTTTTCCCCATCTTTGCACACTAACCTTTGCACGAGCAATGACTAGGGTT